TAAATTATATGTAACTTTAATATGGTTGATAGTTTAAATATTTATTCTAATATTCTTAATAATAAATTTAAATAGTTAATAAAGATAGATATATAGAAATGTTCACGTTATACAAGTACAAAATTAAAACATATTTATATATATATATCTATGTTCGTTTTTAAATGATTAAAGATATTATTTTTGGTGGCTGCATTCAAGAAGTTGACATAATTTTTGTTTGTTTTTTGTTAATCAAACTGAAAAGAGAATACATATATATTAATAATAAATGTATTTATTAATTTGATACAATTTTATAGAAAATTTGTTCAGTAATTTTGTTATTGTGTGAGATTAGAATTGAAGAAGTATATTTGATTTTATTTAGTTGTATCATTGAGTAACTTCATCTTGTTGTTTTATTTTTTTTTTTTTTTTGGTTTTTTTTGTAACAATATTAAAATTACAGATAATATAATTTGAGATTACAATTAGATACTGTTTTGTTATAGCAGCATTATTGTTTATTTTATCATACATTTTTTAATTATTTTTGATTTATATATTAGATTATATTTAGTATTTATATTGTTAAGATTTACATACAATTTTTCTATTATTTTATTTGAATAATTAATTGAATATTTTACAAAATTATTAAGATTTTGATATTAACACACATAGCTTCTTTAAATCAGCCATCATGAAATTTGAATAGAGAATAGTACATACATTTCATAAAAACTGCGAAATGCACTTCTCATTGTATTTTTTTTTTTATTTTTTTTTTTATTTTGATCTTAAGTACAAAGTAAGTTTTGGCCTTGTAATTTTAGAGCATATTTTGCATGCTGTTTAAATTTAACCAAAGTTTGTTTTTTTTTTTTTTTTTTTTTTTATACATGTTAGCAGCAGCACACCATAAATATTGTTCATGTGTTGTTTTATGTAACAAATCCAAATTATTTCTGTATAAATCCATTATAATTATTACATACTATAATTTTGCGTTTAATAGTGAAGTAAGAATATATATATATATATATATATAAATAAATAAATAATTAATTAAATATATATTTAATGAGAAAATAATTTTGAAAATAATTGTTTATTTGAATAATTTTAATAGAAACAAAAACAATCACATAATGTATACGATGCTTGTAATAATTTACATGTAATATATATATGTGTTGTATCATTATTATTATTATTATTATTATAGCACATTTTAGAAAGTATTATTTAAGACTAATATTTTTTTTCATAAATGTATCGGCCATATTTTGATATTCTCTCACATTTGGACGGCAGGATTTGGCTTTCTCAGTTTTGAGGATGAAGATGCTGTGGACCGATGCGTAGCAGAGCATTTTGTCAGCTTGAATGGAAAGCAGGTATTGACCAACTCAACCAAATATATGTAAATATATTTAAAAAAAAAAAAAAAAATGTGATGATATTCTTCTTCAAATTATAATGAAATTAATTATGACTGGTGGCTATTTGATAAAAAAGATAAGAAAAGAAAGAGAGAAAAAAAAATTGTTGTTAGCGTATAATGTGGTCATATGTAACTATGCTCTGTAAATTAATATATACAGTAATAAGTTATTATTATGAAGCGGATTATTATTATTATTATTATTATTATTATTATCATTATTATTATTAAAGTTTTAGTATATTTTAGTATATCTTAGTATCTTTAATAGAGTAGCTTATAGAACAAAATAGAAAAAACAAAAACAAAAGAGAAGTATAAGAAAGTACAGGTTACTACTACATAGGAAATAAGGAAATATGCATTATTAAACAATAATTATTAGTAATATTAAAATTAATTTCATATTTTTAAAAATAGTTGTGTAATTAAACAGTAGATTTAGGTTTTTTTTTTTTTTTTTTAGAATACACACAAATTTACTTTTATCATATATATGTATATATTATTATCATATTAATTGATTTGGCAATGTATATATAAAAAAAGAAAAAAAAATAGATTTTATAATATTAGAATTTATTAAAGTAATATCTATATATATATTATTATTATTATTATTATTTATTATTTATTAATTTATATAAAATTAATATTAAAATTTTAATTATCTTATATATATATATATATGTTGTATATGTATGTGTCGGATAAATTTCGTTTAAGTTTTCATGGAAAATTGGTTTATTCATATAAATAGGATTAAGTAGAAATTATTTGAATATAATATTTTGATTAATACTCGTACATTAATGTTAAAGCTTTCTCATTAATATTTCTTTAGTTATTATATTATTGTTAATTACACTTACATTATCATTAGTGTATCTTCATATATATATATATATATATTATTATTATTATTATTATTATTATTATTATTATTATTATTATTATTATTATTATTATATTAGTTATTTGAAAATATAAGTAGATTATAATGTTATGTATTAAAAGAAACTAATAGTTTATTTATTAATAATTTATATTTAAAGATTATAATATATAATATATAAAGAGCGTGTTGTGTATAAGTAATTTAAACAGTATCAGGCAATAATGTTATTATATAATTTAAAGTAGATTTATTATTATAAGTATAAAACTTTAAAGCAATATCAGCTATGCTGCAATATTTTTAGGTATATATATATAATATATTATAGAATTACATTAAGTGCAAATTGTATTGCTTGCTCTTAATTTATACCTGTACTCTACTTGTACTTTTATTATTAGATTAATAGTCATCACTTCAATGATTAATTACTATTAATTAGGATTAGTTTATAAACCGCAATATAAGAATTATTTTTAAATCTTGTTCTTGTATAAAATAATCATGGCTGCATTGCTCAATTGTTCTATTGTTTTACTATTATTATTATTATTATTATTATCTTTATTATTACTATTATTTTATTATTATTATTAAAGATATACATATATATATGTATATATGTATATGTATATACTAAATATTATTTAACTAAATGTTTATTATTCTTATTTCTAGGTTGAAATAAAACGAGCAGAACCACGAGATTCTTCAAGTAAGATGAATGATAGTCATCAAGGTCAATGGGGACCACCTCAACAAGGTGGACCACCAATGGGTATGGCAGGGAATATGGGACCGATGGGTGGTCCAAATGGTCAGATGGGTGGACCTATGATGGGAGGACCTATGGGACCTCCTGGAAATATGATGCAACAATATCAAGGTTGGGGTACAAGTCCTCAAACTGGAGGTTATGCAGGATATAGCACTCAGTATAATGCTCAGGGATGGGGTGCACCACCAGGACCACCACAACAGCAACAAATACCGCCACCTCCTCCACATCAATGGGGTAGCAGTTATAATGTTCAACCTGCTGCAGCAACTCAAGGCTATGGAAGTTACGGTAAGTTTATGAATTATTTATTCTAATCATACATCTTTTTCATCATTTTCATTTGACATTATTACTTTCTATGAAATTAATTACATGTTTAAAAATTGACCTACTTATAAATATACATAACGATTTTTGTTTAACCTTTTCGCTACAATGAGCGACTCATTGATGTTGTAAATATACATAACGATTTTTGTTTAGCCCTTTCGTTGCAATGACGAGAATTTATATACATACAATTGAAAAGCAAGGTGTAATAACACAATTGTTGATACAATTGTTCTTAAGTAAATGTATACATTTTTAGTGTAGAGTTTTGATTCAACAGATGATCAACAGTCATACTGTATTGTAGGATTCTTGTAGCGAAAGGGTTAATTATATTATAGTATATTTGATCTTATTATTCAATCAGTAACAAGCGTTGTTTTTTACATACGATAGAAGCTATGTTTCAAGGTATATTATTATCAAATACTCAAATAATTATCATAAACGTTAGAGGTATGGTTGAATTTGTTACAGTTAAACTTTCATATAATGCGAATTGCTACAATATGATGAAGATATTGTGATGTATATGTGATATGACTCTCGTGTAATGTGTTATATATATATATAAAAAAGTAAATCAGTATTATTAATTTGTAATAAAATGATTTGTAGTTTTAATTTATTTATAACAATAATTAATTTAATTAATATATAGTCAATTAAATTGTGATACTTGTTGTACAATTTGTTATGTGTTTTTTTACAATGTTATTTTTACTAATTAAATCTTTCTTGTCTTATCTTCTTAATATATATATATATAAATTACGTGTCACGTTGTTTGTACGCAATGGACTCCTAAACTACTGAAACGATTTTAATCAAATTTAGCACACTGTGTGCAATTTCATACAACTTGAAAGATAGAATAGTTTATATCTCAATTTATAATCGAATTATTTGTTTATTAACAAAGAATTATGATTATCTCTGTTAGTTCGATAAGATTCTAACAGATGACGGTATAATATTAATATATATTATATAAAGTAATGAAAATACATTTGTATTATTAATAAAAATACAAATGTTATTATTTGGATATAATATAAATTTCATATAACGCAATTTTTCATAATATTACATGTAAAAAAACATTTGAAAAACGTGTTATTCGAGAGTCAATATTTTTTGGTAATCTTAATTCTAAATAATCCAATTATCTAGTTATAAATAATAATTATTTTTAATATTTCATAGTTTTACAAATTCAACTATTATCTACTACTGACAAATAAATTATTTCTGAATATGAAACTATAATCAATTATTGATTTAATTTTAATATATGTCAATTCAGATTTTTTTAATTACAAATGACCAATGAAATAAATGTTACTTTACTATATATATATACAATTTAATTTATAAATAATTCAACTATAAGAAACTATTATATTAACACTTTTGCTATTTAAAATAAAAAGTTCTCTACATTTTGTTTTTCTTTTTGTAAAATATAATTTTTCATAAAGGAGGAGAAGGAGGAGGAGGAGGTTTCTTTTAAATTTTTCTTTTATATATATATATGTATATGTAAATTATAGTTATACATTTACAATCTTATATTTAATGTTTTATAATTTATAGTTTAAAATAATGTTATTATTTCTTGACAAATGTGTGCAATAATAAATTATCATGAAGTAATTACAGTTACTACTATAAATACAGTTAGTAATGAGTCAAAGCATTAACATGCTTAACTAATTATGTTAATTTCTAATGTACAGTAACATCTATTTCATTTGCATAATTTTTTAATGAAAAAAAGAGGTATAATAAATCATAATTATAAAAATGAACATAACTTCGATCCCGTCGTGTCCTCTCCTTTTCCATCCTGCTTGGAGAGGTCAATTAATGAGAAAATAGAACAAAAAAAAAAAGAAAAAGATAAGAAAATGAGTTAACTACCAACAGTAATGGTACCAAAAAAAAAAAAAAATTCCTTAATATTTTTTAATGCCCCCTGGAGGTTAAAATATCATTTTGAAATAAGTGCCCAAAAAAAAAATATATATATAGATTTGATATTGTTAAAAATATTGTCACAAGTTATGTTAATCCAAACTTTACAAAAAAAAAACAAAATAATAGAATATAAAATATACAAATTCATTTTTCATACCATAAATCTAATAATATCTCTCTCTCTGTCTCTCTCTCTGTCTCTCTCTCTCTCTGTCTCTATTTCTAAAATTATAGCAAAAAATCTATTAAAAAAAAAAAAAAAAAAAATTTATTACTTTACAATAATCTCTTTCTTATCAATAACTGATGCAAATGTGTTTTTTTCCTTTATCCTTAAAAAAAAAAGAAAAAAAAAGAAAAAGAAGAAAAACTATCCTAATTCTAACCTATAATTCCTATATCTTACAATGATCTTCACGTACAAGTTATAAATTGAAATAATTATTAATATTAATTTGTAATCTCATTGTCAATGAAAATTCAATTCGACGATTTTTAATATATATATATTTTTTTTTTTTTTTTA